TATCAGCTGCCAAGATTCCATTCAGGCTCCGCCCACGATTCAGGAATCTCGATCGGCTGGATCAGCTCCGCCCACACGGATTCCTTGATGTTCTGGCTCCACCCACAGTATGCCAAGATTCTGTTCCAGCATAGACAATGGGTCCATTCTCCAATCTTATTGGAGGAGAAAATAGGGGAGCGTCTTCCTCTTTTCCTGCTGCCTTCCACCTTTCCCAGCGTGATGGTCTTTTCCAGAGAATCCTTCCTTCAGAGAAGGTCCCCAAAGTAGGACAGCCTCAGCTTCGACATTTTTGCATCTGGACAGGGTTCAGGCTGAATTTGATCGAGGACCCCCCCCTTGTTGGTCTTTCTGGCCGTCCAGGGTATCTGCAAATCTCTCTCCTCCAGCACCACCTTTCAAACAAATCAATTTTTTCCCCTTTCAGTTTAACTGTCCAGCTTTCACAACCCATACATGATGATCGGAAATCAAGAGCGTGGATGATCTTGGTCTCTGGTGACACATCCTTATACTGGATGATCATCGTCTTAGAACGGCAGAGCTGGAAGGGACCCTAGATTCTGTTCTTCTGAGACAGTAAAATATTTGGGAAAAGATGGGTGTGGTTTATTCCTTCCCTCTCACCCAGGATCACAAATAGAGTGTCTTTGTAGAAGGCGTTAGAGTCTAAAGTAAAAACAGAAGATGCCAGGCAGATGGTTTACCTACCTCCTGACTTTTCCCGGCCTTCCTGCCTCCACCCGAGGACAGGAAACGGTCCTCTAATCTGATGGATCTCCGTAATAGCAAAACAGGTCATTGATCCGCCTAATTAACGAGCCGCCGCGATCATTTCGCCTTCCAAACCCTCTCCGCCCTGGGAGCGTCCCACTTCCGCACATCTTGGGTTGGGTTGGGCATGCCGTGTACGGATGCTGCTTCCTCCACGGTGCTTTTGAACCTGGGGAGCAACCTCCTTTCGTCCTTGTTCAAGTATCCCAAATTGCCCCCCAGTCATTTTATTTGTGCTGTAAATTAGTGTTTCTGGACTACAACCCCACCAGAATCCTGAGGCATTTCAAAGAGAGCTCCAGTCTTGATTCCTATATTTTTCTCCCCAACCTGGCCACCCGTCTTCTTGTGATACAGGTTAGTTCGGAAGACACAGTTTGTGCGGTTACTTTACTTCCATCTGACAAAAAAATGCTTATAGGGTGTTCGCCTGGGATGTACGATTGCTCACCACAGGTGACTAAGCAAAGGGTCTCTCTCAGTGGTCGCTTTTACGCACACATGTGCTGGAAACCAATCGATAGGCCCTCTTCTGTCCAATGGCTTGCAAGCATCCCGTTCCCGCCTCCCCGTACGTCTCTGGCCAACAGATGCCAACCGGCCAGAATGATTGACAAGCCGTTACTCTGGTTTTCAGGCAGCTGAGACGGCTCATCTTTTTCTGGATCATTTCCTCCCGGTCCTTGTATTATTTTCGGGTTCATTTGTTTGATTTCTGCCAGAGGCCAGGAGGCATGTTGGCGGCAGGTTATTAAAATAGGGAGCCAAAACGGGAGGTCGACGGGCGGAAGAAAACGATAAATATAATAAAAAGACGTCAAAAGCAAACAAAACGAAATCTCATAGCAGCTCGACAGATGGGGTCAATCCTGACAATAACGGAGGATGTTTAGAAACGTAGGCAAGCATGATCTGCTTGGAAGGAGAGCAGAGGTGTCTGTTTCTTTTGAGTTGTTGATTTTTCGGGACTTTGCCAAGAAGAATCCGGGCTGCTTTTTCGTGCCCGCGCGCTTCCCCAAATACAGGAAAATCATTTTGCAGACTACAAACTACTCCCGGAAACTGGGGGACGATAGGAGCAGTAGTCAAGGAGCTTGAGGGATACCCTGGACTGTCAAAAAGACAAACAAGGGAGTCCTCGATCAAGTCAAGCCCGGACTCTCTTTGAGGCAAAAATGAGTAAACTGAGGCTGTCCTACTTTCGGCACCTCATGCAAAGGCAGGATTCTCTGGAAAAGGCCATCAGGCTGAGGAAGGTGGGAGGCCGCAGGGAAAGAGGAAGGTCAGATACGAGATGGACGGGCTCCCTCAAGGAAGCCACAAGTTTGAGCCTTGGAGGAGCTGAGCAGGGCTGGGGTTAGGGGACAAGGGTATTTTGGAGATCATTCATTCATAGGGTCCGAAGGCCACTTGACAACCACCACCAAGATTTCCAGGCAGTGTAAAAGAAGAAAAATAAGCCCTGAACAGCTGTTTGGAAATCCAAATGTGGCGCAGGGGCAGGTGGATCTTTATACTGTAGTTTTGAGGGTTTTTTTTTCTAAAGGAACTTTTTCTAGCTGTGGGAAAGGCGGAAGACACAGCCTTTGAGACAAAACAGAGGGGAAAACCTGATCCGGAGATTCTCAGGTGGCGTTGAATAAGGAGGTTGGGGAAAAATGCCCTGTTTTTCTTGATGTCCCCCCTTCCTCTTTTCCCCCCATTGGGTGGAGATGCGAGTTCGAATCTTGGCACCATCGCTTCCCACTAGGCTCTGTGAACGAGTCTGTTGGGGATCAGCACAGGTCTGTTCAGAGCAGTCCATTCATTGGGAGCTGGGGAAAGTGGCCGTTTCTGCGATTCGCTCTCGTTCGGGTGGTGGGCCTCCGCGCCCTCTCCCCTGCCGGGATTTTGGGATGCCCGGCCACCCGCCACTGCCGCCCGCATTCCCCGACAAGTACATCACACCCGGTCGGGGGCCCGGCGCGGTGCCTTCAGGAGCCGAGCCTTTTGTCTCCGGGCTGGGCTCTCGGCCCGTAACCCCCAGGGCTCCTCGCTGACCCTTTTTGCTCGCAGCCCCTTGAATTAATCGGAGCTGACGTTTGCTTGTTTAGGAGAGCAGGGCAGCTGGAGGGAAGCCACGGGTGGGAAAGGAGGGGGGGGACGTGAGATACTGGAGGGGGGCTTCCCTTCCTCTCCAATGCCCGGAGAAAAGAGGGGAGAGGGTTTTGGAGAATCGGTTCTGGGCGCATCCTAAAATTCTGGATTTCAATCGAAGGCGCAGAAGCTGTCGGAGGGAGAGGTGGTGGTTAAGTCCTCCCAACAACCTGATTTCTAGCAACCTACAGGCGGAAGGCCGACTGGGAAAAACAAAATATATCAGCCCCGATCTCGGAACAGCCTCGCTCGTCGGGATCAAAATAGACCAGTGGGTGAAGCAGAGCCGGCGTATTATTAAGCAGGTTTGATAGGATAAGCTGTGGGCGAAGCATGACAGCATCCTGCAGGAAAGAAGTTAATTAAGCATAATTGAGGGCTCCGGGGAGGACCTCGCTTCTTCGACGTGCGGGGAAGGGGGGTGCGCGTTGCCTCCCTGTGTGAGTCGCTGAGAGGGCCCCCGGCCTCCTTCCCCGTTCAGCCTCCCTTGGGTTGAGAAATCGGGTTTCGACTTGGGTGATGCATTTGGTTGTGCGGTGGAATATTTTTCCCCCCAAAGAGGGTGTCTGTTGCAACTCTGCCTGAGTGTCTGCTCTGGCCTCCTTCCCGTCAGGCTCTGCGTAAAGTCCACGTGGAAAGAGCTTAACGTGGCTCGCCCTCTTCCGGAATAAGCCAGGGAAGGTATAGCTGCATCCCGCTGCTGGACCCCCTCTGGTGAGGGCAGAGCTTGGAGGCTAACTTTTCCAGACTACAAAGCCCAGGATCCCCCTCCCACCAGGCATGGCCCTCGGCTTCTGTTCCTCAGAGTACAATCGACACAGAGGTTTGGAACGACCGGAAAGGGCACGGCGTTTTGCCTGCCTGTTGAAATTGAAAGGGGGCGCAGCTATCTCCTGCGGTAGGCCCTGCCTTCGGTGGATTTTGGGATCTGTAGTCCAAAGAAATTAACGTTTCCGAGCTCCGGGTGCCGAGGGCCTTGGGATTCTGTTTCGAGGAAGCGTCTTTGGGACGGGGCTACGTTCCCGAAGGAGAGGCATCGAAGTGAACCCGGTAAAACTTAGAAGACAGACCTCATGCTGTATATGTTGAATGCAGTCGTTCCCAGGACCGCAATTCCCAGAAGCCTCCACCACCAACTGGGCTGGTTAGGGTTTCTGGGAGTTGCAGTCAAAAAAACACCGGGGTCAGCCAAGTTTGGACACTAGGGTGGTACACTTTCCCCCAACTTCTGGCCACGTACCCGCTTCCCGGCCCGCCCCAGCCTCCTCGCTGTTGCTTCTGCTGGGACAGACCGATAATCCTCTTCCTTTACCCTGGCCCCAGGGATCAATCCTGTACCGAGTCCCAGCTAAACTTTCCCAGCGGAGGCATTTTTCCCCTTTCCAAAGCTGGACCAAGTAAACACAGACCGCTTGTTTTTTCACTTCATTGTTTTCCAATCCTTCTTTCTTTTTACAGGCCTTTTTGAGGACGGCCGATTTGAGACCACGCTTCCTTGGTGACGAAAAAGTGGCGTCACGTGGAAAAAAAATCGGCTGACTGAAGAATCTCCCGTTCGGCAGCCACAAATCCGTCTATACAATATACCATATTTTTCTGTGTATAAGACGCCCCCATTTTTCTAATCCAAAATTAAGAAATCTAAGTGGGGCTTAGCAAGTGGAGGGGGAAAGGGATCAAAGCGCTGCAGGATCGCTTTGATCCCTGCTTTCCCCTCCACTTGTTTTTGTTCTCTCCTCAGCTTACTTCCATATATAAGACGAGCCTTAATTTTTAGTCTAACGATTTTAGACAAAAGTATAGTCTTATACATGGAAAAATACGGTGATTATTTCCATTTGATAGCACTTCAGCGGCGATGTATGCGCTCTGAGCTTTATAGTTCGGGGATGGATTTAGAATTCGGTGCTACAATTTGGGTCAGGGCGTGAGAGCTTAGCCCAGCATTCGATGAGTCCTTCCTGAACTACAAACCCCATCGCTCCTTGCAATGGAACCCTGGCCGGGGGAGGCGGACCAACCCGCTGGAAGGGTGTCGTGTCGGTCTGTATCATCTGGATGGAACATCCCTTCTGTTTCTCTGTCCCCAGGTTTTTCGACGAAGACTTCACCGTTCAAGTCTCTGTCAACGATTACCTGGATATCTACTGCCCCCATTATGAGCACCCCGTGGCCGTGGGAGGCCCAGAGACTTTTTCTCTGCTCATGGTGGATCTGGAGGGCTACCGAGGTTGCTACGAGACACCGGGGGCCTTCAAACGTTGGGAGTGCAACCGGCCCTACGCCCCGTACGGCCCGGTCCGCTTCTCGGAGAAGATCCAGAGATTTACGCCCTTCTCGCTGGGCTTTGAGTTTCATCCTGGACGCGATTACTACTATATTTGTGAGTAGAGCTGACAACGAAGGGTAAAAATCTGGTTCTAACTGATTAAGCCATAAACGGCTGGGATCCAAAGCTATATCTCAAGGACGCGTCTCCCTCGATGAGCCTCCTCGAGTGCTAAGATCCTCAAGGGAGGACTTTCCCTCAGCCTCTGTTGCAGGTGGCCTTCGTTGGGGACACGGGAGAGGAAGGCCTTCTCGGTGGTTGCTCCCAGCCTGTGGAACTCCCTCCCACTGGAAGCCAGTCTGGCCCCGTCTCTGCTCTCCTTCCTCAAACAGCCAAAGACCTTTAGTGTTGCTTTTAGAGGACTCTTTGATTCTTTCCATTCCTTGGGGCCTTTTTAAGGCGAAAGTTCCAATTATTCTTTAAATAAAGAAATTATTTAAACGAATCCCAAATCCAGAGAGATTGCCACATTTTGGGAAGATCTGTCAAAAAAAAAAAAAGCAGATTTCGCTGTCTGCTCGGAAGCAGTGGAACTTCCTGCCTCTTGATTTTGCTGTTCCACCATCAGGTGAATAGCTTTTCCTTTAAAAAAAAAGCCTTTCATGCTTTAAATGAGATTTGAACTCTTAAATCCAGAACCTTCTCTCTCTTTTTTGTCTCAGTGGGTTTATTTAAGTGTTTCAACTCTACTTCCTTTTGGTTTGAGTTAATCTCCATCGTTTCAGAACTGCAGAGCCGGAAGGGACCCTGTCGATCATCCAGTCCAGTTATGTTATCTTTAAGATTTGTTCAGTTTTAACAGAAAAGGAGGGTATAAACAGAGCCCGTATTTGGGTGACAGATAACAATTTTAAGGGTTGACGAGAGCCAGACGGAGGAGAAAATCTGAGCCTCCAGATTGAGATCTAGAAGGTGAAAGATTCTGGTTTAGTGCGCTTGGCCTGGATTTGGAAAAAAAACTTTGTGTTGCAATGAATCAGTAAGACTGCTTTTCCTCTTACGATTTGTGGGGAGCGAATTTGAGGATTAGGGGAAGAATGTGGTTCAGATTGGCTGGTACTCAAATGACTTCTTGGCACAGCTTGGAAATATTTTAAAGCAATCTGTAAAATATTCTGGCTTCTCTCCCTTTCTGCTTTCCAGCGACGAAATCCGTTCTTCCTAGGCCAGCCCCACTCCTCGTAACTGGAGCAGCAAGCTGTGTTGTATGGCAGAGTTTTGAAAAAAAAAAATTTTTTTTTTGCTTACAATTATTCTAGCTGCGCAGCAGAAGTGCAGGGGTTCAGAGAGCAGAATCGCTTCAATATTCCACCCGTCTCTGTCTCAACTGGCATTTACAGTCTCAATAACTCGCACTGAGGTATTAGAAAGAATCAAAGGTTTCATGACTTACCGTTGAACAAAACAAACAGCAAATGGATCAACAAGGTTGCTTTCGATGACAGATTTCAGCTGACTCTAGAGAGGGGAAAAGACACCAAAGCCAAGAGGCGGGGCTGTCTTTGAATGAGACGCAGGAGAGAATGATTGGTTAGTGCTGGATAGATTGACAGTCACTCCAGCCTGGAAATTCCCTCCCAGCCAAACCTGCTATAGGCAGCATGCAAGGTTGCAAAAACGCCAATCGGTTGGAGGGTGGGAACATTTCAGCGAAGAATCAGATGGGATTGACTGGTTATTTAGAAGCCACCGAGACAGATCTGGGAGTGTTACGACTTGGGCCAGATTGCTACCAAAGGGTGTTTTAGCGCTCTCTGGACGGCATCGCTGGTTCACCTCACCGGGCTCACAATACCCAAGTGGGGATTTGAACCCAAGACTCTCAAGTCCTGGAAAGACGCTGAGTCCACTACACCACGCTAGCTCAGCTCTAAAGCATGACAAAGCCATTTTTGATGATTTTGTAAATCAGTATCCAACAATCTACTGTTTAAGACTTAACTTTCCAGTGAGTTTTCGAAAAGAAACAAGCAACCCATCCGTAGCTTCTGACGCATGGGACTTTGAAACAAAGCACCAGCCACGAATTGATTGAACTTGGCTAGGAATAATTTTGGATTGCTCTTCCTGGTCCCCCTAAACTATATCTAATAGACACATTTTTCCTCTGTGAATATTAATAAGGGAAGGCTTTCCTGTTGAACAGCTGCCTGTCAGGCAGCTCTTAAGGCCTACCCCGGCAGCAGTCAGAGGGACAGGCCTCTGTTTGGAAGCCTACGGAAGTTGAGGGGCAACAGACCACGAGCTGGGATGGGGTGGAGGGAGAGACAGGCAGATCAGAGTGGCCAACTTTTTTTCTTAGCAGGGCTCCTGCGCTTGTAATATCTGGGGCGCATGCGAAAAATCAGATGCGTATCATTGCATCTCTGCACCAGGACCAGCTAGCTGAACATGGGTGACCTTTATTTTTGTTGGAAAAGGAGGTTTTGATTTTTCCTTCTTGTAATCTGCTTTTTTCTTTTCTCCCTGTGGCCCCCTTTTTCTCTCTCTCTCTCCCCCAACAGCCATTCCGTCTGTGGAGAGCCCCGGACGCTGCTTGAAACTTCGGGTCTCTGTGTGTTGCAAGGCCAGTAAGTCTGTCTCCCGTTTTCTGTCCGTTGCTGGAACAGGGAGGAAGGATGCTTTTACTGCTCCTCGGCCTTAGGCTTTTTTCCTCCCGGTGTGCGGTTGTGCCCCGATTTTTCCTTTCTCAGAGAAACTGAGATGGATTGAGGTGGGATCGGATCTCGTGGCCAGAGAGCGCGCTGCCTGGTGGATTGTGGGAGTTGTAGTCCAAAAACGTTTCCCGGCTGTGGTTTGGACAAGGGTGTGTGTGTGGCAGCCTGGGTGCAGGTGGAGATGCCACGAAGGGTTTTCCCGCAGCTGGGTGCAGTTTAGGACCTGCAGTTCAACAGGTAGAGCATGATCTCTGAATAGAGAAGGACGTGGGTTTGAGATTCTCCGTGGAAAGGATCTCTTCTCCCGTAGATGGGCAAAACCCCTGGACGTCATCAAGTCTCAAATCTGAAAGCAAGCCCAGATCTTTATAGAGGTTGATTTCTGATTCCCGGAGTCATTTTGTGGGGAGACAGGCTTGTTTCTGCCACATTGAGTGACTGGAGTATGTTTTTTTTCTCTCCTTTTAGCTGCAGAACCCATAACAGAAGGCCCCAAATCGCAACCGCGGGGGAGAGGCGGCTCAGACGGTGAGTTTTAGCGGGGTGGCCACGGCTCCGGGTGCGAAGGGAGGGGGGGAACAGCCGAGCCACTGAGTGCTCTTAAGGGCAGCGAAGAAACAACGTGAATGATATTTATAGGGATACCCTGAATGGGCACTATCACTTTGCAATAGAACATAACCAAAACATATTCTTTTTACAAAGTCAGGTCTCTGCCCCAGAGACCTTACAGTTATCATTTTTTTAAAACCAGGAAGGGATCAGCAGAGGGAGGTGGGAGGGGAAACGTAACTGTGACGGGAGGAAGCCGTGCCCGAGAAAATGTAATATATACGCCTTTCGTGGCTTTTCGTGGCAGTCCGGCGTAGGCTTCGGGAAGGACCTGAAACTTTTTGAAACACAGAGCCGACCCTGATCCGTTTGGAAAGGCGTTTACAGGTTCGAGCTGTTTTTTAAAGGCACCGGCCCCGAGCCCAGCTGAAAAAGTTGGCAACATGGGGGGGGTTGCCCGAGATTTGCACGCACCTCTGTGCGTGCCAAAGGACCGGAATTTTGAGGAAGGAAGGAAGGGGAGGCGAGCAGGAGGAGAACGCGGGAAAGTCACTTATTTGCTCTGTAACGCTTTGTACTGTCGTGCTATGGCTATTTGTGTGTGTGGGACTACAATTCCCAGCATGTCTTAGCTGGCTGGTGGATGCTGGGACTTGTAGTCCAACAGGGAACTCTCTCACACTGAGAGTGAGATACACACACGCTCTGCTTTTTCAACGTGTCGGTCTCTCTGCGCCCATTCTGGTTTTCACGCCTCTGCCGTTTTCCGTCTCCGCACAGATGCTGCCGCCGTCGGCGGGCCCAACTCTGCCCGGACGTGGCACCCCAGCTGGGCCTTTCTGGGACTGCTCTTCTGGCTCCCCCTGTGGCTTTGACCCCAGGGAGCGAAGGAGGGCTGGAAGGGGGAAGGAGAGGATGGACGTTTGCCCCCCCCCTCCGGCCAGGCCCGACACCAGGGGAAAGGGGCATGCTGTAAGACTTGGCCATCATCCGGCACCTTCTCAAGACATTGTAAAGAGGCAAGGGATCATCGTATGGCGCTTTAGGATCCGGAGGTGACTCCCTCCGTGGCCCTCCCTCGGCCGGAGCCCTGATCCTCACGAGACCGGCCCGGCTTCCAAAGGTCTCCTCGGGACGCTGACCGCCATCATCCTTTGCGACTTCTGAAGGCGACCCCCCCGAGAGAAAACCGAAGCCGTGGGTGGTGAGTATCTGAGCCGGAAGCGAGTGGCGAGGCAGGGGGGGGGACCCCAGAGGGCGTCCTATTCGGTTTGGGTCTCCAACCTTTGGCCCAGCCAGGATGCCGTGACTTTGAGGTCCAGAATCCCCAGCCGTTGGCCGGGGCAGCTGGACTTTGTGTGCCGAGATGCAGAACAGCTGGAGAGAAAAAAACGGTTTGGACCTCCGCAGAGGGCCTGCGATAAAATGTTGCAGCAAAGTCGAGGGGCCCCGGGTTCCGAACGCCAGCCAGTGAACCCATGTCCTTTCCTATGCTCCTCCGTTCCGTTCCTTGGTCCCCCTTCCTCTCCAGCTGCTCTTTTCTAAAGTCCGTCTCTATTCTGGTGTTCCGATTAAACAAATAATAATAATAATTCAACATTTGGTGGCCGTGACTTTGAGGCCCAGAATCCCCAGCCGTTGGCCGGGGCAGCTGGACTTTGTGTGCCGAGATGCAGAACAGCTGGAGAGAAAAAAACGGTTTGGACCTCCGCAGAGGGCCTGCGATAAAATGTTGCAGCAAAGTCGAGGGGACCCCGGGTTCCGAACGCCAGCCAGTGAGCCCATGTCCTTTCTGCCGAAATTCAGGAACTGGCGAGAAAGGATAATAGAAGGCGCCCCCCTCAAAAAACAACCCCATAATGATGAAATAACCGTGGTGAACTGATTGGCGAAAAGGGCATAGCAGGGGGGCTGAGGGGGGTTGGAGGCGAGACAGGGCGAAGGCGGAAAATTACGGAACAAATCACATAATCTGGGGAGGCAGATCGAAATCAAATAAACCGCGCCGTGGAAATGTCAAGATGCTGATCTGAAAGCCCCTTTCGGGAGGCATCGCTATCCATGTCAAGAAAGGGCAGGACATGGATTTTGGTCAGCCTGTGTGTGCGTTTGTGTGCGCGCCGCACGCACATGCATTTCTGCATTTCACAGGGCGCATCGACTCTCAATACACAAGGGAGGCTGATCAGGGTCCGGAGGGCATCCGTTTTGGTTTTTACTCCAAACCTCACAGGACTTGGGCTGGGCCCGATCGGCGCTCATGGGTTCTCAGCATTTTTGGAGAGCTCCTGTAAAGTTCGGATGACAACCCGCAGCCTGTTCTTGATCTCTATGGCTGGAAAGGGAGTTTGTGGGTGCTCTAAAGCTGTGTTTCCCAACCTTGGGTACCTCCGAGGTTCTTGGACTGCAATTCCCAGAAGCCCCGGCCAGCCCAGCTGATGGCGAAGGCTTCTGGGAATCACAGTCCAAGGACACCTGGATTACCTGTTACTCTAAAGCGTTATGGACTAGAAAGTTTTGGAGTATGGTTCTTGAACATGACAGCCTTTCTAAAATGTCCCCCAGGAAACAGCCGGTATCCGTGCTGACTTTTAGCGGCAAGCCAGGACTAGCTGTTTCTCACACTGAGCCAGAGCGGGTCTTTTGTAAGGCCAACGGGCCTTAACTGCCGATTCAGGACTAGGCGTCTACCCTAACGCTTTGCTTTAAAATGAGGAGACCCGGGGAAATCCACCCTTCTCCAGCTTTGCTTAGAGGGAAATGTTAGATTTTCAGTGCAGTGGCATCCACGGGAAACCCAGGGCTGCAAAATGGGGTTGGGGGGGCACACAGAGGCCATAGACTCATCATCCGTAGGGTCATTCCAGGAATTTATCGAAGCCAATCTCAACAAAGTCCCCCTTTTCTCTGTTTCTTTTCTCCTCTCAGGTGAGTCTCTGCTGCTTCTCACGATGATGGTGTCTGGAGTTAGACCTAGCTTTTGTGCCCCCCAAAAACCTAACATTTTCAGTGTGGAAGCGAAACCCTCGTCCAGGACTTTCTGTGTGCCAAAGAAGAAAGAGGGAGACGCTTACCTCCATTTTTGGGACCCCGGATCCTTGAAACCTGGCGACTTTAACTGGGGGGACGAGATTGGGGGGGATGGAGAGCAAATCAGGGAACCTTCTCTCGTTTTCCTTGCGTCCTGCCTTCTCCCGGACAGCCTCCCCCGCTTCGGACAAAAATCCGGACGGTGTCGGCCACCGACCCTCGTGTTCTCGACGAGAACAGCCCCAGTTGTGAGGACAGCCTTTTCTCTCTCTTTTTTTTGTCTTCCGTGAAGATACGGCTTTCTGTTTTGGCACAGCCGAATTCCTGGCTTCTGGTTCCCGGTGTCGGGAACGCGGTTTTCCGTTTGGATTGTCAGTGCCTGAGCCAAGACGATTAAAAAAAAAACACACACACACCTCTCAACCAGAAATTCCACCTCCTGTTTTTAACGGAACGTCCCCTTCTTCCCGGGGTGTCGCAAAACGGGGTGTGTATGTGTGAGTGTGTGTGTGTGTACACGATCCAGAGGGAGAAAATCAGGGGGGTGTTTATACCCACCAGGAGGGAAAGAGTGGATTCAGTTTGGCAGTTACTGAAATATTACAGCAGGAGGGGGTGGAGGGTTTGAGACCAGCTGGGATTTTGTGCAGGGTTGAATTGTGGGGTTCTTATTGTGCCGGTTCGTAAGTGTGGCCCCCCAGGTGTCGTGCGTTCCCGTCCCCCGCCTCCCGGGCCAGTGACCCGCTCGCCCGTCAGGAGCGCTCCCCTCTCCTCCTTCGGCGGTTCAACCAGTCCTTGGCAGGAGCCCGGGTTTGCCCTGTCGCGCCTCCTTGTCTGAGTTGGCCATCAGCTGAGGAGGCAGGGCAGGGAAGCTTATGGCTGTACAGCCGAAGAGGAGGCAGAGAAGAAGGCGCTCCAGTGGGCGACTGGAGGGATTCCGTCGGCGAGGCAGGGGCTGGACGGCATCTACAAACTTCCGAACCAAAGTTCGTGCCCAACTCTAGATGTAAGCTTTCGGCTGCCTCCTCGTCAGCGGGAATCGGGGCCGGCTTTGGCGGCGGGCAAAGGAAAGGAAGGGCTTCCGATACGAGGAGGGCGGGAGGAGCAAATGGGATGCGCCATGCGCCCGGACGGGTTATCCCTCAAGGAATAGAAAGGATGATCTCCCACTATGGATTTTTTAGCTGCTTAGACAGGTGGATTTTTGTAAGGGGACCACAGCGAGGGAAATCTGTGCAGAATTGGGGGTAGTACCTACCCCCTTCTCTCCCCCCCCCCAAGTTAGTGGTAGCTGGATCTCTCCGGTCTCCGCCACCCACGATGTGCCTTAAAAACAACACCAGTCTCCAGGGAAGCTGGGAAATGTTGATTCTTGCAAACCGCCGGCCCTCGGATCTTGGGAAGGTTTCCCAGACAGAGAGGGAAGGATGAGGTTTTGAATTATTACAGACTCTGGGCCTGGGGTTGTAGAAAGCAGTAAGAGGTCTCTGTGATCTATTAGGTAGCTCCGTATTCCTCTCCAGGGCAAATAAACACCGACAGACCTGGGAGAGAGGATGCTTTGAATTTATGTCCAGGTTTGTCTCGAGCGCTGCTTGTCCTACAGAAGATCGGTCGTGGCACAAAGGTGATCCTTGTGGCTTCCCCAGCAGCTGCCTTGGTGGGCTCTTATTGAAAGATTATGGGGCTTGTAGTCTCTCCCACCGACTTCCCAAGCTCCCGCAAATGGGGAGGCTGCAAAATGGAGAGGCGTTTTCTTCTTCCAGCATCTAGAATAGAAGCGCTGTGGGGGAATGATGGTTACGGGTGTTGCCCCTGCTTGTTGGTGTTCAGTTGGGTGTAGAGAGGCCGAAGAGACCCTATTGCCATTTTAATACCATGTAAAAATCAAGTAGTAATGACCAAAGTCCATTCGGAAACTTTTTTGGGTGGCCTCCATATTTCTCTCTGTGATGAAGAAGTGTATCGCCATACCTGTAAAACCGGGCGTGGGTTTAACACCCTTTTTGGCTTGGTGGTTTTCATTTTGTGGGGTTTTTTTGGTGGCTGTTGTGCCCAAAAAGGGGCCTTATTGTTAAAAAAAAAAAAACATTGTCCACTATTTCCTGGATTAGGAGCACTTATTCCCACATCTTCCTGGAACTGGGTTTTGTTGAGGTGAAAGACGTGTCAAGGATCTAGAAGGGCTTATTTCCGTCTTTATTTAGAGTTATTTCTGTCTCTCTATATTTTTTCTCTCTCCTCAATTATCTTTTCTCTCTCTTCCCCTCCCCGCAAGATCCTCGCCAGTGCTGCCCTCCCCCTGCCCCCCCCAGCGATGGCTCTGGTACCGTGAGTTTCGGGCGGTTACGATTAATTACCGCGTTTGATATTGAGATGTCAGGAAATGTCACCATGGAAGTTTTAATTGCGGGTCGCCTGCTGCCAATTAGCGACGGTGCCATGGCGCGTGAGGGCCTGGCAGGGGGGCACCACGCCGCGGCAACAGCCGACCCTCTCTGCCCCCCCTGCCCCATTGCATCTCCCCCTCCAGGCCTGCTCCGAGACAAAGCAGCCCGGGAGCATCCCGACTTTTTTCCGGGAGGAAGAGAGAAAGACGCCATGGAAGCAGGAATTTTCCCTTCCGTCCGAGAAAATCGAACTTGGGTTTTCTGCCTTGGCCAAGATGGAGGGAGTCGATCCGACAGGAATTTTTATAGGACAAAAGTGGCATCGTTTTATGGTCCAAAAGAAAAAAAGCATTGAAACCTGGATGCAAGCTTGCAAAGCTACCGAAGCAACATTTGGGAGGAGCGCAATCCCCAATCTTTGTGCCTCCTGTAAAAATATGGACCGGGGTTCATCTTGTAATTCTGCGTCCTTCCCTGTGGTGCTGAGGACCAGAAGGAAATAAGAAGAACGATGCTCTCGTCGGCGTAATGTATAGCCAGGTTGCAGAATTCTGTCCTTCCTGCTGCAGAATTCAGTGTGGGAATATTAGCACGGACTTCTTCCTGTCCTGAAAACAGGATCCGTCTCTTTCTCTTAATCTGAGAGGGAGGCACCGAAACCGGCCCCCCCGGCCGCACGCAGAGTGCGCCGTGGCAAGCCGCATTTGTCCGCTCTCGCCGCAGACGGCCGTGATCCTCCCCCCGGCTGTCGGGTTTGTCCCCGCCGCGCCCCCCCCTTGCACCCATCTT